AAAAAAACAGGACCCATACCTTGCACCATATACAAAACTAATTTAAAATGGATCAAAGACCTAAATATGAAGCCAAAAGCTATAAAGTTCATAGAAGAAAAAATAGAATCAACACTAGAGGTCCTAATACACGGCATTAGCAGAATATAAACCATAACTAACAACACACCAACACCAGAAGACAAGCTAGATAACTGGGATCTTCTAAAAATTAAACACTTATGCTCATCAGAAGACTTCACAAAAAGAGTAAAAAGAAAATCTACAGATTAGGAAAAAGTTTTTGACCATTACAAATCAGACAAAGGTCTAATCTCTAAAATCTACAAGAAAATCTAACACCTCTACAACAAAAAGACAAATAATCCAGTTTAAAAAAGACAAAGAAAATAGGCATTTCACCAAAGAAGACATTCAAGTGGCCAACAGACACATGAGGAGATGCTCGTGATCACTAGCCATTAAAGAAATGCAAATCAAAACCACAATGAGATACCATCTCACCCCGGCATTACTGACATGAGTGAAAAAAAACAGGAAATAACAAATGTTGGAGAGGCTTTGGGGAGATCAGAACTCTTACGCACTGCTGGTGGGAACGCAAAACGATACAACCATTTTGGAAAACGATATGGTGCTTCCTTAGAAAGCAAGAAATAGAAATACCATATGATCCAGCAATCCCACTCCTAGAGAAATAAGAGCCATCACATGAATAGACATATGCACACCTATGTTCATTGCAGCATTGTTCACAATAGCAAAAAGGTAGAAACAACCTAAATGCCCATCTGCAAATGAATGGATAAACAACTATGGTACAAACACACAGTGCAGTAATATGCAGTGATAAAGAACAATGATGAATCTGCAAAGCATCTCATAACATGGATGAATTGGAGGGCATTATGCTGAGTTAAATAAGTCAGTCACAAAAGGACAAATATTGTATGAGACCACTACTGTAAAAACTCGTGAAAAGGTTTGCACACAGAAAGAAACAATCTTTGATGGCTATGAGGCCGGGGTGTTGGGGTGGGGAGGACACTAAATAGATAACAGATAAGTGGTAACTTCGGTGAAGGGTAAGACAGTACACAATACTGGGGAAGCCAGTACAGCTTGTACAAGGCAAGGTCATGGAAGCTCCATAGACATCCAAACTCCCTGAAGGACCGAATTACTGGGCTGGGGGCTGTGGGGACCATGGTCTCAGGGAATATCTAGCTCAATTGGCATAACATAGTTTATAAAGACAATGTTCTGCATTCTACCTTGGTGAGTAGCATCTGGGGTCTTAAAAGCCTGTGAGGAGCCATCTTGGAATACTGGGTACTTAGAAATATCTGGGAAATGATTGAAATTTGTTTAAGATCAGTTGAAACTTATGGACAAAGTTAGCTTTGGATTTAGGTAATCTTTCTGCTATTTTTAGCAAAATTATTTCTATACGTTGGAAGAGTACAAAGCTGTTTAATTCTTTACCTGAAGATTCCAAAACCCAAACCACATCCACTGCTGTGAAGTTGATTTCGACTCACAGTGACCCTATAGGACAGAGTGGAACTGTCCTGTAGGGTTTCCAAGGAGTGGCTGGTGGGTTCGAACTGCCGACCTTTTGGTTAGCAGCCGAACTCTTAACCACTGTGTCACCAGGGCTCCACTTGAAGATTAGTGTGCCTATCCTGTGTAGCGACATCGTAACCCTTAAGTGAACTTGCCTTTTTGATCCTCTGTAGTCTAGGACGATGTCAGGAGAACTACCACCAAACATCAATATTAAGGAGCCTCGATGGGACCAAAGCACTTTTGTTGGACGAGCCAGTCATTTCTTCACTGTAACTGATCCTCGGAATATCTTGTTAAGCAAGAAACAACTAGAGAATGCAAGGAAAACAATACATGATTACAGGTAATGTTGATTGTTTTTTGGCTTGATGTATCGATAGATCATCATGTTAACCTACTGTGTTTAAACTTTCACGTAGTGATTTTATGACTTTTTTTTACATTGGAATCCTTTAAAAGAGAGAGGGAGACAGGAAGCAAGGAAAAAGGAAAGGAAGGGAAGACCTGTTTTCTGCCCCCATTGCTTACCCTTAATTAACATGGATATCCAGGGTTCATACCAGTTGCTGTTGAGTCGACTCTGACTCATGGCGACCCCATGTGTGTCAGAGTAGAACTGTGGTCCATAGAATTTTCAGTGGCTGATTATTCAGAAGTCGATTGCCAGATCTTTCTTGTGAGGTGCCTCTGGTGGACTTGAACCTCCATCCTTTCTGTTAGCAGCCAAGTACAGAACCATCTGCACCATCCAGAGACTCCAGCTTGTTTTATAACCCTTTAAAAATGTAGAAACCATTCTTAGCTTGTAGACTATTCAGAAACAGATCATGAGGTGTAATTTGCCAACCTCTGATATAGATGAAAAGGAAAAGGTATGAAGAAGACTACACTTAAGGGGAAGAGAGAATGGAGAATGAACATATAATTAATCAATACTCCTAAAGTAGAAACTAGAAAAAAAATGCAGAAGAAGCAATTTAAAATACATAACAGAGAAGTTTTCCTCAGGTGAAGAAAGACATATCTATAAGTTAAAAAAGAGAGTCACCACCCTCTGATTCATTTTCACAGATTTGAACATGAGCTCTTTTTCCCATAACTTCTATTAACACTCGAGTAAACATTCCACTGGAATTGTCGCATTATGAGTCTTTCTCATTAAGGAAGGAGCAAGTCAGAGATGCCTTAATCTCCACTATTATATAGCATTGTTCTGGAAGTCCTAACCAATTCAGGAAGACATAGAAAAACAAATATATTGAAAAGATGTGGCAGTATTTTTGTTACTTGCAAATGATGACATTCTCAGCAATCAATTGAAAAAGCAATGAAACTAATAAGAGAATACCATTAAGTGGCTGCTTATAAGAAACACAAAAAGTCAGTAGTTTCCTATAAAACCAATGATAATCAGACAGTGTTTTTTAATTGTGTTCATAAAAACAATAAAAATGTTAAATATCTTGGAATAAACTTACCGAGAAGTGTGTGGCAACTACAAGCCCACTGGGGGTCATTAAAAGAAGCCTTTGAGTAATGAGAGACAGGAAGTAGCCCTGGATAGAAAGGCTCAATATTGTAGAGGTGCCAGTTCTCACCAGACTAATACAATTCCAGTCAAATTACAGTTGTGATTGCCTAAAAAATTGACAAAATGACTCTAAGTTTTATCTGGAAGAGTAAATTGAGTAAGGCATTTTTTGGGGAAAAGGAAGAGTAATGGAATAAGGAAAATTGCTCTGCGAAATATTAAAATGGACTGTCAAATTAAAATGGTGAGTATTGGCACCAGAACATATAATTGGTTTAAATAGTAATGATAAATAATGATGAGGACGATGATGCTGCTGATGATAAAAAAAGACATACTCAAGTAGAGAAAATGAGCAAAAGATATAAGTAAAGTCTTAATAACGAGGGTAAGTCAAAAAGTTGCTGCAAAATCTTAGAAACCTTTATTAAACAAAACTATCAAAATGTGAAGCCATTGTTTCTCGACATACCCTCCATCTAGGTCTATACACTTCTGAAGGTGTTTCCATCCTCTAACCCTTCCCTGAAGAATTCTGCATCCTCGAGGGACTCAAATCATGTTCCTTCTAAATGTTCTTTGAGTTCTGGGAACAAAAAGAAGTCTGAAGGGGCCAGATCAGGGCTGTAGGGTGGGTGGGGTAAGGCTTCCCAGTGAAATTCTCATAGGACAGCCCTTTCTACCCTCGAAGAATGAGCAGGTGCATTGTTGTGACGGAAAAAAATTCCTCGGCACAACTTTCCTGGGCTTTTTCTCACCAATGCAGTTTTCGATTTTCTTAAAGCTTTTTCATAGTAAGCCCCTGTGATCGTCCTGTGTCCTTCGATAAAATCTATCAAGATTACCCCTGTGAAATCCCAGAAAATGGTCGCCATAACCTTCTGAGCGGTCTCCCCTCTCTCAGCTCATTTTTGAGGTCTTCACAACGTTCCTTAAAATGCTTGATCAATCTAAAAAGTGTTGCTTTATGTGGGGCAGCATTCCCATAAACTTGTTGCAAAGCTTCAGTGATTTGGGAAGATGTCCACCTGAGTTTTGCTAAAAATTTGATATTAGCCCTGACCTCAAAATCGTTTTTTTTCCATGGCATGAAAAGTATCCCTTTTTTTTGAAAGCACCCTAATGAGACTAAGACAAATGTATTACAGAGAGAACTTGTCTGCAGCCATCCACTGATCACAGAGACATGTTTAAACACGTTTTGTTTGGAATAAACCTGTGAGTGTATAAACTGGAATACTAGTAGCAATACTTTTTGACTTACCCTCATATTTTTCATAGCATTTGTCTTATCAAATTTACTCATTTCTTTCAAAATAATCTTGGATGTGGGCAAAGATTTACTCATGAGGGTATTTATTTCCTCATACTTTACAAATGCAAAAAAAAAAAAAAAGAATTGGAGTAATTAAAATGTCCAGCAATAGAGGATTGGTGTATTATTTTATGATCATATGGTGGAATGCTATGCAGTGTTTAAAGATGACACAGAGAAGCATTCACTATATATTACTGAGTTTAAAAACTAGCTGTAAAGCAGCAGGTACAGTGTGACACCTGTAAATAACCACATGGCATGTAGAACATAAAAGAGAGACTGAAAATGTGTTCACCAAAACGTTAACAGTGGTGATAAGTAGGAAAGGTGTGAGTGATTTCAATTGTTCTAATGCATTTCTGCATTAGAACAAAGTTTTCAGAATTTCTAGCAATGAACATGTGTTTGTTAATTAATGAGGAGAAAAATAGTGAATGATGAACCTAACTTTTTTTTTTTTTGGAGAGTCTAATATAGGCTTTTAAACTACTGGGTTAAAAAGGAATTCATATTCTTGTCTGCTATAACTTTTGTGTAATTGGTTAAAAATATTTTAGAGTTCACAAAGTTCAAAATACTTCTTTAACTATATAATTTAAAACAAAGACTGTTTCAAAGTTAACTACTTCTCTATTATACAAGGTAAATTTTTTGTTCTTCCAAATTACAGGTAATTTGAGAGTGGATTTGAAATGTTCATTTTAAGTATTTATTGATTTTTGTGTTACTGAGATTTCACTGACTACACATCCTAGTTAGATTCATGTTACCCTACCCAGGCACAGTTGTTTTAGAGAAGTATAAGCTTTTAAAAACACAGCAGCTGCTTGTCTCTAGGACACCATGAGGTATTTTAAAATGAACAGTTGCCATGTTATTTGTTGTTGTGTTTCCCAGACAAGGAATTGTGCCTCCAGGTCTTACAGAAAATGAATTATGGAGAGCAAAGTACATCTATGATTCAGCTTTTCATCCTGACACTGGTGAGAAGATGATTTTGATAGGAAGAATGTCAGCTCAGGTTCCGATGAACATGACCATCACAGGCTGCATGATGACATTTTATAGGTAAGATATGTTCACTTTATATTGCAGAAGCTTAAAGTACATTTTATGTATGTAAATAATTTTATTGAAATAAAATGTCACTTCATTTTTAGTTCCATTTTGTATAAAGGTTGCAACCCTAGGGATCTGCTTTACCTGTTTGTCTGTACTCTCTTTGTTACTCAAGGAGTCCGCGGGTGGTGCAATTAATGAGCTAACAAAAAGTTGTAGGTTCGAGTCTACTCAGAGGCACCTCAGAAGAAAAGCCTGGCATCCCACTTCTGAAAAATCAGCCACTGAAATCCCTATGGAGCACAGTTCTACTATGAGACACACAGGGTCGCCATAAATTGGAATCAACTCGATAGCAACTGGTTTTTTACTGTCCGAAAGGAGGTTAAATTTTTCCTTAAATCTTTAGCCCTGAAAGAAAATGAGATGGAGAAAGAAAACAAAGAGTTGTCAAGCAATTCTCTTTTTAATTTCTTCAAATAGATATAGACAGAGATGATTGCAGTTAGGAAGGGCCAGGACTGCTTAGCCTGCAAATGTCTTTTTTTTTTTTTTTACCCTCGAGAAGGGACCTAATATTTATTGAGTGCCTACTCTGTGCCTGTATGACGCAAACGGTTAAGTGGTTGGCTACTCACGGAAAGGTTAGCGATTTGAACCTACCCAGAGGCACCTCAGAAGAAAGGCCTGGCAATCTGCTTCCAAAAAAATCACAGCCACAAACACCCTATAAAGCATTTCTACTCTGCACACACATGATGTTGCCATGAGTTGGTGTCAACAACAGCTGTTTTTTTTTTTTTTTTTTTAAACTCTGTGCCAGGCCCTCTACAAATGCTATCTCACTTCATCCTCAGAACCACCCAATGAATGAATGAGTATCTAATGAATGAGGAAACTGAGGCTCAGAGGACATAAATCTGCTCAACCACGCATATCCTCAGTTGGAAGCCTAAACGCAGTCTTTCACCCGGCGTTCTCCCTTCCAGCACATCTCCTCTTTGGTTGCTGATATTCACCTGTTCTGTTCTGGATGGCAGTGAGGTAACAAGTGATGCTGGTAATATAACGGGTTGTTCTGTTTTAGGTCTACGCCGGCCGTGCTCTTCTGGCAGTGGATTAACCAGTCCTTCAATGCAATTGTCAATTACACCAATAGAAGCGGAGACGCCCCTCTCACTGTAAAGTAAGACTGCAAGGTTCAGCTGTCTCCTTCAGCTTGCCATCTTTCATTGAATTAAGTGCTGACACTCTCCTGTTTAAAAAAAAGCATATTTGTACAAATCGTTTAGAATATTCCGTAGCATATTTTTAGATTAAATGTTTCATTTGTTCCCTTTCTATTGATAGAATGGTTTTTTCAGACTACCTTCTCAGACATTAGGTCCCTGAAGGGTGCAAATGGTTTGCGCTTGGTGCAGATTGGTGATTCAAATCCAGTCAGTGGTGCCATGGAAGAAAGGCCTGGTGATCTTCTTTCATAAGGTCACAGTCATTGAAAACTCTATGGAACAAAATTCTACTTCGACACGTGGGGTCACCATGAGTTGAAATCAAGTTCTTTTTTTTAGTTTTTTTGTTTTTTCTCAGACATTACACACACTGTTAAAGTGGTGCTGATAGGTTGATCCGTCTCCTGCACCCTCAAGCTCACTACCCCTTCAAAACACACAGCAGGCAGCTCAGCCATGGCCTGCGGGAAATGACAAGCCATATTCCCATCAACGCTGCACGTGTGAAAGCCACTGATATCAAAAGTAGCTGTGTCAACCAAAATTTATTAGTGGTTACTAGGGACGAGAGGGAAGCAGAAAAAGTTATTATCTGGGAAGCATTGAGTTTCTGTTTATGGTGTTGGAAAATTTTCAGAAGATATTGGTGATGGTTGTACAATATGATGGATGTAATTGATGTTACTAAATAGTACACGTGAAAAAAAGTTAAATTGGCAAATACCGTGCTATGTGTATTTTGACAGCAATAAAAACTATATATAGCTGGGTCAGTACAGTATGGATTCAGCAGAAATCAAGGGGAGACCGTGGCAGCGTGACTTTTACTCTTGTTTTTGAAATAAAGAACTGTGGAGCCAAAAAGAAAGTATAAAATGGTTTTGTTGGTTTTTTTGTTTTAATAATATTTTACTATGTTTTCAGTGGAGGTTTGCACAGCAGTTTAGGTTCCCATTCAACAACAACTACACAGGTTGTTCGTGGACATTGGTTACATTCTTCACAATGCGTGAACATTCACATTGTTTCTGTTCTGGTTGTTCCATTTCCATTAATCTAATTTCTCTAACCCTTACATTCTCATCTTTGTTTTAAAGTAATTGTTGACTGTTTGGTCTCATATAGGTGATTTTTTTAAAGGAGCAGAGTACTTACAGGTAATAGTCATTATTTTTTGAGCCAATTTGTTATTTAGCTACAGGGTGACCTTGGGTTAGTTTTGGTTGAAGATTTGAAGAGTATCTCAGGGCAATAGTCTCAGGGAGTCCGCCAGTCTCTGTCAGTCCAGTAGGTCTGTTTTTGTTTTCGCTTTGTTTTGTTGTAGGAATTTGAGGTTCTGTTTCACATTTTTCTCCCATTCTGTCAGGGTGCGTATAGTGTGGACCTGATTAGAATGATCGGTAGTGGTATCCGGGCACCATCTAGTCTTCTGGTCTCAGGGTAGATGAGGCTGTGGTTCATGTAGACAGTTTGTTCTGTAGACTAGTTTGTTCTTTGAATCTTTGGTTTCCTTCTTTCTCTCTTATGCTGGACAAGTAGAGACCAATAGTTGTATCTTAGATGGCTACTCACAAGGTTTTAAGACCCCAGACACTACTCACCAAACTATGGTGTAGAACACAACTTTATGAACTATATTTTGCCAATTAACCAAGATATCCTATGAGACTATGGTCCTAATCCTTGAAACCTAGAAGTCCAATCCTGAGAGGTGTTTGGTTATGTCTAAGAAGTGTCCATAACTGTGCCCCTCTGTGCTTTATTATATATTGAATATATGTGACTACAGTCACAAAGATGCACATACATATGCATACAATTATATATTCATACATACATATACATACCTATACACATATATGCCTACATACATATATATATACTCACACATGTATTTTTTTGGTTGTTTTGCTGTTGTTTCAAAATTACGCATGCCATAGCAGTTACCAGCAAGTCCTTTTTTCTTGTGTACTTTTTAGTGACGTTGTTACCTTCATTAAGCTATGTATACTTCACCCTTATTCAGTGTTACCTTTCTCATCACCAAAAGTAACAGATGTCTGCTATCTAGAGAGTGAATCCCCCTCCACCCCGATCCCTGGTAACCACTAATGAACATTAGTTTTTGTATATTTACTTGTTGTCATGTCATTTCATAAAAAATGAGAACATACCATTTTTTTTTTTTTCTGTAATTGACTTATTTCGCTCAGCATAATGTCCTCCAGGTTCATCCACAGTGTAAGATGTTTTGGGAACTCATTTTTCTTTATCGCTGAGTAGTATTCCATTGTATGCATGTACCACATTTTACTTATCCGTTCATCCATTGATGGGCACTTACGTTGTTTCCATCTTTTTGCTATTGTGAATAGTGAAAAAGTATAAATGGTTTTAAAATTTACCTCTTGTTAAAATATTTTAGACAGGCTAGAGAGATTAGTTAACCAAAATTTTAGCATAACTTGTATGACACTTGAAACAAAAATGTTTTTTGTTTGTTTTCTCACTTAAAATTGCTTTTGATAGTCCATGTTCTTCTAGTATCATCATATGGAACTAAGGATATTGAAATCTACCAGCCAGCAGTGTTCATCATACCTTCATTTCCTCCAGTCCTTGAATCTAACTTATCTTAAAAGATAATTGCATTTGCTTAATTGCATTTCGAAGATGAGACTTTTAGTATTTTTACACAGTTAGATATAATTTTAAAATTGGCAATATTGCATTTTTTATTTGCAGTATGTATATTAATATCTTCAGAAGTATTTTTTTATTTAAGCAAATTCGCTACAAACATTTAACCCAATAGGCATATTCCTACATTTATAGATCCCTACATACTCACAACTTCCCTCCCATCTCCACCCAATGAATACATATTCTATGTATCCACCTCTATTAGGTTGTTTCAAGGTTATATGTGTAGAATCACATTTTTTATGGGTCCACTTGCTTTTTCTCTAGATTTCTCTACATGATGAGTGATAATGAATGTGGTTCTGTGGACTCCCTGTTCTTAGTCAAGATCCTTTACATTTCCCCCTCATCTCTTGCAGAAATGTTGTAACGCAGTTTCCTCAGGTACACATGCTGTTTACGCGATACTCTCTTTCTTTTCAGTGAATTGGGTACAGCCTACGTTTCTGCGACAACTGGTGCTGTAGCAACAGCTCTAGGACTTAATGCACTAACTAAGGTACTCTGACTTTTATTTCCATAGTGAAGCTTCTTATTTTCTTCTCACGTGCCTGGCTCTAAGTCCCTCTGTTATTTATAAAAATGGTTCAAGTCATAAAATGACTGTCTTATTATAGTTATCGGAGTCCCTGGGTGGTGCAAATGGTTAAGGTGCTCGGCTGCCAACGGAAAGGTTGGAGATTCGAGTCTACCTAGAGGTACCTCAGAAGAAAGGCCTGGTGATCGACTTCCAAAAAATCAGCCATGAAAGACCCTGTGGAGCACAGTTCTACTCTGACACACATGGCGTCGCCAGGAGTCAGAATTGACTTGGTGGTAACTGCTTATTATAGTTATTGTTTTCAGCTGCATATTTTTAATTATATCTTCTACTAAGCTTGGCAAAGGTTGTGACCAATGACATTGACCAGACCCTGGTCTGTGCCTGACACTGTATTAAGTGCAGATGCTCACCCAGCCTAAGAGCACATCTGAAACTGTGTAGTCTCAGACCATGCTTGTGAAGAGACGAAGGAGCCAGCATCTGAGCCCAGGACTATGAGACCCCCAAGTCCATACTCCTTCAGCCACACTAAGCTGTGAAAATGTCTTATAAGTCTGCATTATCCTAGTATTTCCTTGCTGGAAATATAAAAATTGTTCCGGGACACAAGTTTTGAAAGTTATCAGACTCTAAATAGGGATAGAGAGTGATAGCTGCCATGAAGCCATCTCCAACTCACGGTGACCCCATGTGCAACAGAACAAAACATTGCCTGGTCCCCATCATCCTCAAAATCGCCAGCATGTTTGAGTCCATCATTGCGGCTGTTGTGCCAGTCCATCTCACCAACGGTCTCTCTCACCCTCACTGGCCCTCTACTTCCCCAAACATGATGACCTCCTCCAGTAATGGATCCCTCCTGATGACGCATCCAAAGCAAGTGTTCTGTTGTGATCCATAAGGTTTTTATTGGCTAATTTTTTTTGGAAGAAGGTCCCCAAGCCTTTCTTCCTAGTTTGTCCCAGTCTGGAAGCTCCCCTGAAACCTGTCCACCATGGGTGACCCTGCTGGTATTTGAAATACTGATGGCATATCTTTCAGCATCATAGCAACACACAAGCCACCACAGTACAACAAGTTGACAGATGGGTGATGGCTACATAAATGACACTCTGCAATCTTTCAGTTTTCATGAAACAAGTGTTTCCATTCCGTAATGCAGGAAAAGTAAGATAATGTTTTGTAATTGTCTTTTCTGCAGCACGTCTCACCCCTGATAGGGCGTTTTGTCCCCTTTGCTGCCGTAGCTGCTGCTAATTGCATTAATATTCCATTAATGAGGCAAAGGTAAGATTAGTATACACTCTGAGAAAGGACTTGTGCTTGGTGGTAGAGTCTCTCTTAGAATAATTAGGTTTGTCGAATGAGTTTTAAATTTTTATTTTGATGTTTGCAAATGAAATTACGTGAAATCCGGGATTTGCTTCAAAATAACATGGGGCTTGCTATGAGTTGGAATTGACTCAATGACAGTGGGTTTAGTTTTTTTGGTGAGGGGAGAGGATAGGTCCCTGGGTAGCATAAATGGTTTGCACTTGGCTACTAATTGAAATGTTGGCTCTCTGAACCCACCCAGTGGCACCATGGAAGAAAGACCTTGCGATCTGCTTCCGTAAAGATTGCAGCCAAGAAAACCCTATGGAGCATAGTTCTACTCTGTAACACATGGGGTGGTCATGAGTTGGAATCAACTCGACAACAATGGCATTTATGTTTTTTGGATTTAGTGATTATTGCTAGGTATGTGCTTGCATTTTTTAGTTTTTTTTTTTTTTTTTGGTGCTGAGTAAGAGGATGGGTCCAAGATGAAACAAGATTAGTTAGCCATGAGCTGCTAATTCTTGAAGCAGAGTGATAGGTACCAGGGAGTTTAGTTTACTCTTCCTTCTGCTTCTGTGTAATAAAAAGTTTTTTTAAAAATATAGTTTAACGCTTCCATTTAGTCGTATAGGACTAGGCAAAGAAGGTCTATGCAGAGAAAGCTTATTCTCTAAAATAGGTTCTTTTACTTTCCCTAGAATTTTCTTTTTGGGTTTAAAGTAATATTAATCTATATCTTTGGAAGTATTTTTTAGAACTGGCAAAAGTTAAAGGAGAAGAAAGAACAAGAAAAAGCATTTTGGAATGGATAACGAAAAACAGGGTAAAAATAGGAGTTATAATTATAGTGTTAGTAACTATAGTTAATGAATATACAATAGTGCCATGTACTAGTGACTCCTATGTCAGTATAGTTCACTTATAATACCATTTCTCATTTGGAAAGTTGCTCAAAGTTGCACATGAGCATAGGAATTAGCCTTATCTTTAAGTTAGCATACTCACCCTTTAAATCACATTGTTACTGAAAAAAAGTCCACCTTTTTTTAAAAGTTTACTAGCGTTATTTTACTTTTGTGTCTATCACAGAATGCTCACGGTATTAAAAAACAGACTTGTCAGTGCCAAAAAACGACACTTGAGGGGGGTCTTTGGATTAAGTAGGGACTTGATCACTCCTAACATTGTAATATTTCAAGCCTTTTCATGAAGACATTTGTGAACTTCTTTACATGTGTCATGCTCTGCAGGGAACTCAAAGTTGGCATTCCTGTCACCGATGAAAATGGGAACCGCTTGGGTGAATCAGCAAATGCTGCAAAACAAGCCATCACGCAAGTCGTCATCTCCAGGGTTCTCATGGCAGCCCCCGGCATGGGTCAGTAGAACCTTGTCATCTTTCATTTATTCCATAAATATATGTCAGACAGCCTTTATGCACCAGTGAACAACAGCAACAAAATCACTTCCCTGGTGGAACTTACATTCTACTGGGAGAGGCAGAAAACAATACGCAAAGTATATAGCATTTGGGATAATGATAAGGGCTGTCTTAGTCTCCTCGTGCTGGTCTAACAGAAATACCACAAGTCCGTGGCTTTAAAGAATGGAGATGTATCGTCTCAAGAGAGGCTATAAGTCTTGTTTCAGGGTATGGCTTTAGGAGGAGGTCTTTCTTTGTCTCTTTCAGCTTCTGAACCAAACCGAACCTATTGCCATCAAGTCGATTCCGATTCATAGCAACCCTATAGGACAGAGTAGAACTGCCCCATAGGGTTTCCAAGGAGCAGCTGGTGGATTTGAACTGCTGACCTTTTGGTTAGCAGCCGAGCTCTTAACCACGGTGCCACCAGGGCTCCATTTCAGCTTCTAGTAGCCAGCAATCCTTGGAGTTCCCGGACTTGTAGATTCATCCTTCTTCATTAGATAGAGTCTTTCTTCCCCCATAAGTCCTCCTTTTGTGTCTAATCTGCTCTTTTTATAACTCAGAAGTAATTAGGTTTAAGACACACCCTACACTGATATGATCTCATTAACATAACAAAGAAAACCTATCACCAAACAGGATACATCCATAGATATTAAAAAAATAAAAATAAAAAGACTCCTTACTGTTGAGTCAATCCCGACCCTATAGGACAGAGCAGAACTGCCCCATAGGGTTTCCAAGGAGCAGTTGGTGGATTCAAACTGTTGACCTTTTGTTAGTAGCCATAGCTCACCATAGCTCTTAACAACTGCGCCACCAGGGCTCCAAGGTTTAGGGGTTAGGATTCCAACACATATTTGGTGGGAGGGACATAATTCAATCCCTAACAAGGGCTAAGGAGAAAGAAAGGGTTAAGGAATGTTGGGGTGGAAGTAGACCGGATGGCCAGGAAAGAGGACCTGATAGAGGGGAGAGAATAAGCCAAGTGGCTTTCAGAGGATGAATATTCTGGACAGAGGGAACAGGAAGAGAGGTGGGGGCTAGCCTTGCCTTTGAAGCAGTACAAGGAGGCAGGTGAGGAGCTTCAGGAAGGGAGTCAGTGAAACTCCGGAAGACAGAACATGGATGTCCTACAGGCGCTTAGAGCCCTGGGTTTTAATCTAAGGGGTGAGGAGTCGTGGAGGGTTCTGAGGATGGGAGTGGCATAAACCAATTGGCGTTTCAACTGCATGACTCCAGCTCCTGTGTTGAGAATAGACTGGGAGGACAAGAGTGAATGGGAGGAGACGGGTTAGGAAGCCATTGCCGTACTCCAAGCAAGAGCTGATGGTAGTTTGGGGCAGGGTGGTGGCAGAGGAGGTGGTGAGAATTTGAAGGGAAAGAAATTGATCTTCAAGAATCATGAAAAGAAACTTCAGAAAGCCCTTGGTTAGGAGTAATTTCTACTGAAGATTTATTTGTATCAATTATAAATCCTTGGAACATGGACCAAGCTGGGATGGTTAGAACAGCTATTAATAAAATGTGTACCAAGCTACTACTCAGTTTTGTACAAAGAGCTTGGAGTCATTGTGAACAAAAGCAGAAAATCTACGTTGTATTTAGTTCCACTGAGAAGCTCTAGTCCACCCCTAAGACTCTAAAACTACCCTCAGACCAAAACTACCCTCAGACCAGGGGCCTAGAGAAGGTTCTCAGACTCACTCAGAAGTCAGAGTGCCTGGGAGTTATAGTACTCTTGGCAGAAAAGTGAACAAAACAGAAATTAGTATATTTAATCATATGAACTGAATGAAAATAGCATTTTGCCAATGAAAACTAAGCTCTCATATGAAGCACGCTTAATCAACCATTGTCAAGTTTTCCTTATAGTACTGTTTGCTGTTTTTAAGTTCTTTTTGTCACTGTGAATGCGCATTAGTGGGAGTAAGCACCAAAAGTTGGAGAAGAATGCATGAAGGACACTTTGAGGCACATTATGTTGGCGTTCCTGCTATTAAGGAAAGAGCACCATTATCTGACTTAACAAAGGAGCCCCTCCCAGTGTGCACTAGCGGGTGGCTATGAAGCAGTCCTGGAGATGGTTGCAGTCAGTCCCCTGAGTCCAGGACCAGCTTGTGTAGTGAGTTTGAGGGACTTTGGGGCTGATCAAGGAAAAAGATACGACCACAAGATGGCAGTGTTGCAAAACTATTTATTGGGGCCAGCATGTTGATAGGTTTTGCATGGAGTAGGGAAGGAGGTTCCTCACAACAGGACACTTTTCCAAAAGGAAATGGTGCAGGGTTGGGTTAAGCACCGGAAGAGGAAGAGAGCAAGGGGACTCCTGGGGGACATGTCTAGGTGATGTCACTCAACAGCACAATGGGAAATCTGGGTCAGAGAGCTCCAAAGGGCAGCATCGGTTTGGGATCTTTATAACTGCAGGGTTTTATCTTATCTGTGCTTATGTTGGGCACAGTTTTGATATTGGACACAGCAGACAGGCTCTAAATGGCTAAAATCTTCTTTGGGGGCTATTTTTAAAGCAATTGGGTATGTAAACATTTGAATTTGACACTAGTGGGCTTTTTTGGCTAATAGGCTCCAGCCTTATGTGAAGAAGTAAACAGCTTGGGGCCTGTACACAGAGGCTCATTGATGGAACAGCTCATCACTAATCTATGAGGCGGTGTGGAATCCCCCAGGGCTGTGGCTGCTGAGCCCGTGTTTTTCTGAGATTGGCACTTCTGAAGTTGAGGCGGCAACTCTAGCTTCTACCCTGGGTTTGCTCTTGGCTTTGTTTTTTTCCAGTTTTGAAATGCCTTGCTCTTGTTGAGGTTCACCCAGTCCAACAAATCGTTTTCTGGTAACTCAGTTATTTTAAATACTGTTGAGTCCCCAGAGAAGAAACATAATTTTCTAGTTCCAGTGAAAGTTATAAAAGTAATTGAAATATTGGAATAGTAGATGTAACAGTTTAGTCTGATAAAAGTTGTGAGTAAATGAACTAACACAGCCCACCACATACCAGACAGTTTTTGTGTATGACTGCATTTAGTCATCACAGCAAGTTTGATGCCCTTCTCCTCATTTTATGGATGAGGAAGACAGAAGTCTGAGGCTCAGAGAAGCTAGGGAACTTTTCCAGGATCACCCAGCTAGCAAGTGGTTTAGCCTGGATTGGAGCAGATCTGCCTGACTCAAGCCAAGATTCTTTACCCGTACTCCACCTGTGATGGTGCTAGCATATCTTAGTTTCCTAGTGCGTCTATAAAAAATACCACAAATGGGTGGCTTTAAAGAACATAATTTTTTTTTTCACAGTTCTGGAGACTAAAAGTACAAATCAGGGTCTCAGCCATGTCCATTTCTTCTGTGGGCCTCTCTCCTAGTTTCTGGTAGTTGCCAGCAGTCCTGGGGGTGCCTTTCCTGCTTGTACATGTATCTGCCTCCATCATCACATGGCATCTGTCTTCCCCTGTGTGTCTGTCTCTCTGTGTCTCTTTTCCCTTTTTATAAGATACCACTCAGAATGGATTAGGTTTAGGACCCACCTACTCTGGTATGACCTCCTTAACATAACAAAAGAAAAACCCTATTTCCAAACAGGGTCATATTTACAGGTATAGGAATAGCACTTCAACATAACTCTTGGGGTTGCATTTGTTTTATTTAGTGTGGGAGGGAAAAGTTACTGACGTTTGTCCTATTGCATATTTAAAGTTAAATGTAAAGTTTTCTTCAAGATTCTAAAACTTTCTGGCTGGCAAAAGGCATTACCTTATGTCTTAGTTATCTAGTGCTGCTCATAACAGACATACCACAAGTAGGTGGCTTTAACAAACAGAAATTTATTTTCTCAGAGTTTAGGAGGCGAGAATTCCAAATTCAGGGCGCTGGCTCTAGGGGAAGGCTTTCTCTCTCTGTCAGCTCTGGGGGAAGGTCCTTGTCTCTTCAGCTTCTGTTCCTTGGCTCCTTGGAGATCTTCATGTGGCATGGCATCTATCTTCCCCCATCTCTGCCTGCTGAATCTGCTCCTTTTATATGTCAAAAAGAGATGACTAAAACACGCCCTACACTAATACTGCCTCATTAGCATAACAAAGAAAATACATTTCCAAATGATTATAACCACAGGTGTCCAAAAAAAAAACCCAAACCCACTACCATCATCATCAAGTCAATTCCGACTTATCGTGACCCTACAGGACAGAGTAGAACTGCCCCCTAGGTTTCCAGGGAGTGGCTGTTGGATTCAAACTGCTGACTTTTTTGTTAGCAGCCGAGCTGTTAACCAATGTGCCACCAGGGCTCCAACCACAGGTATACCAAAAAAAAAGAAAAAAAGAAAAAACCAAACCCATTGCTGTCAAATTGATTCTGACTCATAGTGACCCTGTAGAACAGAGTACAGCTGCCCTATAGGGTTTCCAAGGAAAGGCTGGTAGATTTGAACTGTCAACCTTTTGGTTAGCAGCCAAGCTTTTAACCACTGCATCACCAGAGCTCCACCACAGGTATAGGGGTTAGGATTTAAAGCACAATTCAATCCATGACACCTTATTTTTCAAAAATCTAGGAAATGGGAACAGTGGATTTAAAAAAAAATTAAAGTATTTTAAAGAATTATTGCAAATACTTTTCACTCTTCCAGTGTGAAAATAGCCTAGACGTAGAATAAGCCTTTCATCAAATTGTTGGGGGGAATGGGGAGGAATGTGAGCTGAAATTAGATGTTAAATAAAGATTTAAGTGGATCTGTCTTTACTTCCAGCAATCCCTCCATTTATCATGAACACTTTGGAGAAGAAAGCCTTCTTAAAGGTAAGACCTAGTTCTATTTGTCATCATTTCAATCCTTTCGATTCCTTTTTTAGGCTGCAAACTATACAGAACATTCTCTGCATAAATAGTGACAGATTTGAAGGCCAGTCTTTCGTAGACACTTAAGTAAAAAAGATGTTTCTAGGAGCATTTTATTTCTAATCTCAGATCTTTAGAAAAGCTTTCACAAATGAAGACTGCTGCCCCCTTCCGTTTAACTCAGTTATACACTTATCTTCATCATCGGTTGGACGCACCTACCTAGGTAAAAATGAGGAAATGGTGTGAATTTGGAATGATGTGTTTCTGTGATTAGAAGTTACTATGTGTATGAAATGTTTATAAGTCACTATCCGTACTATCCATATTATAGCTCCTTATAGGAGCCCTGGTGGCACAGTGGTTGAGCGCTTGCCTGCTAACCAAAAGGTCGATGATTCGAACCCACCAGCTGCTCTGCGGGAAAAGGATGCAGCAGTCTACTTCCATACAGATTTACAGCCTTGAAAACTGTATGGGGCAGTTCTGCTGTATCCTATAGTGTCACTGTGAGTCAGAATTCGACTCGTCGGTTGGCAGTGGGTTTGGTTTTGGGGCTTATCCATACTATATATGGATAGAAATAATAATTTAGAGCAGTAGCTTCATGGAATATTGAATTAGTACCCCAGTGGTTTTTTTTTTTTTTTTGTACAAATAATGGATAATGCCCAAACCCACACCCATTGCCATCGAGTTGATTCTGACTCATAGTGACCCTACAGGACACAGTCGAACTGCCCCATAGGGTTTCTAAGGAGTGGCTGGTAGATTCAAACTGCCAACATTTTGGGTAGCAGCTCAGTTCCTAATCACTGAGCAACCAGGGCTCCATAGATAACATAGTGTTAGCCAGTTCAGCATTTTTTTTACGTATACAATTCAGTGAGGTCAGTTAATCAGTGATGTTGTGTAGCCGTTACCAATATCCTTTGCTAAATTTTCCAGCCCCGTAAATAAAAACGCAATGTTTCCTAAATAATAATTTTCCCCATATTTGGTGATCATATCTAATACTTCATTAATCTACCGGCCATCTCCCTTCGAGGTCTGAAAATATTATAGGATAAAATTGTAACCAAGAAATCTCATGGCATTATATGCACTCTTTCTACATTGCTTTTTTTATAGGTTCCATGATTTAATGCCATATTATTTATGCTTAACCTTAGTTTTCCAGTTCTTATAAGAAGTAGGAGACGGTGGGATAGGGTGACTCATTTGGTTCATGCCATGTTTGGAAACTGACATCATTCGATCTTCCAGGAGAAAGGGGTCAGACACCTCTCGGTAGGAGCAGGTGCATTACAGTGATGAGGGCAGCAATTTGTGGTAAATTGTTTGAGGTCTTAGAACTGTAACAATGAGGAGACACTGTAAAGCTTTGAAAAGAGGACATAGTTTACAGATAAAGCACTTCGTGAACAATTTCAGGTATTAGTACAATTCTGAAATGCCCAACAGGCATGTTTATTGACCTGTATACTTCAAATGAGGGCATTGGTGGTTCAGTGGTAGAATTCTCCCCTTCCACACGGGAGACCTGGGTTCAGTTACCAACCAATGTACCTCATCATGCTCAGGCACTACCCGTCTGTCAGTGAAGGCTTTGCATATTGCTATGAGGCTGAAAGGTTTCAGTGGACTTCTAGACTAAGACAAACTAGGAAGAAAGGCACGGTAATTTATATCTGAAAATCAACCAAAGAAAACCTATGGATCACAATGGTCTAATCAGCGACTGATTATGGGGATGGCGCAGGACCGAGCAGCATTTTGTTCCATCATGCATGGGATCGCCATGAGTCAGGGGCCAACTCAATGGCAGCTAACAACAACATATGCCCTATGGTCCCAAATTGGAAAACTAAGGCAAATGCTAAGTGAACACTTCATTGACACTTTCGATGAAGTCATATTCTTGGAAAAATAAGTTAAGCAAGTATGCTATTAAGAGGCAGTAATATCGAGGACCTCATTTGAAGGACATGTCCAGGTTGTTACATATCAATGCCCAAATCCCCACGGGGGAAAGGGGATACTCTTTCCCTATTATGTTATTTTTATTATGTTATTTTATACTACATTACACCCCCTCTCAAATTCTTTCTTTGGAGCTTTGGGAAAGTGGAGGAGTCACATTCTCTGAGCTTTAGTTTTTGGAACTGCTGCCTTTAGCAATCTTACATGTTAATGTGAAATGTGCAAAAGAGTGTCCTGGTGGCTTTTTCGTGACTGATCGATCCCTTTGCTCTTTGAGGAGTTTCTGGAGGAAATCTGCAGAGCCTTGTGCCACCCCAGGAAGCCACATCCTTGAAAACCTTCTGATTCCCCATGTACCTTCTTTTTGTGTTTCTGACAGTCTCAATCATAGGATTAAACCAAATATAACCTTTTAGGAATACAAAGAAAGTACTTATATTTAAGCAGTAAAGTTAGTATGGACCAAAATCTAATTCTGGCCTCATTTGTCATATTGCCTACTTAAATACACTCTCATTTTGAGGATTCATAAAAAAAGTTTTGTCAAAGTCTCTTTCAGGTGTTAAGAAAAGACTGTTAACTATTTAAAGTTTCTAAAGGATTACTGTATGTGCTAGAACAGTGACTGTATCTTAAAATTACCAGAGTATGTCATGATCTGAAACTCACCAACTTGACATTTCAGTGATTTCCAGGTAAACTGAAAAAAAAAAAAAAAGATCCATGTCCTTCTCTGTCCCTCCTTGCTTGCCTTACAGAAAGTAATTTAGGCATCAAGGGAGACTTACATAATAAGTTTAGAATGGGGACCATCAACATCGTTCTAACCATAACCCTGGTGATAAGTGACCCATCTCATGGATCTGTAACTTTACATTGAATTGATGCCTGTATTATTCTCTGCCCACTCTTGATCTACTAAGTCATTAGGTTTATAGTATTTCCGCTAGGGTATATGTGGATCCAAGCCACTTTTTGACTTGCCAGGTAGTTAGCAAACTTCTTGACTATTTTAAATTCTTAAGTTTTTGGCAGGGGCAACTCAGGCACAACGGAGAATCAGGAAACATATCTAATAAACTGAACCACCCCTCCTGCTAAAGTTAAGCAAAATCAGATTTTTAAGGCAAGTCTAGATTTCCAGGTGGATGCAAGGCTTGGAAATTGTCATCTTATCATATTAATTTGTCTTATATAAAAATGACAGCTTTTGCAAGAGAGAAGCGGTAAATGTGGATCACTCAGCAAACAGTGTAACAAGGTTATGACTGTCACGAATTTGCAAGTGACCATATGTACACTGGAGGTCAGCTTCAGTGGCAACATCCCCAGCATTTAAGCTTTCCTGTTCCTTTCACTGCACCTCTCAAATGTCACCTAACACCTACTTAGCAGAAGGATTTTGCCACCATGGTTTGGAGCAGAGACCGGAATCTCTTGTCCACTTCCCACTGCTGGTGGGACATTTTATGGAGCCTGGCTCCAGCATGTAGACACAGGCACACCGCTCTGCTAATGTGTCCTGATCCCACTTGGGATTCCAGGACATTCATAAGAAAGTCCACCTTTCAGCCTGCGTTGATGCTGAAAAGTCAGGTCACCTGTGATGTGAGATGAAAGCATGTACAATGAAGTTGTTACTTCATTCTTGCAATTTGTCTCTGTCTTTGAACTCCTGGGCTTGCAGTTTTGGAAGAGTTGTTGCAGTTACACTAATCATTGACAAACACTGGACAGGAGACATACGTGAGCACTTTATATAATTGTCTTGTTGAGTTGTTGTTGTTGTTAGGTGCCATCGAGTCAGTTCCGACTCAAAGCAACCTTGTGTACAACAGAACAAAACACTGCCCGGTCCTGCACCATGCCCACAATCATTGTTAAGCTTCAGCCCATTGTTGAAGCCACTGTATCAGTCTATCTGCTTGAGGGTCTTCCTCTTTTTTGCCAACCCTGTACTTTACCAAGCATGATGTCCTTCTCCAGGGACTGGTCCCTCCTGATAACATGTCCAAAGTATGCGAGACGTAGTCTTGCCATCCTTGCTTCTAAGGAGCATGCTGGTTGTACTTCTTCAAAGACAGATTTGTTCGTTCTTTTGGCAGTCCATGGTATAGTCAATATTCTTTGCCAACACCACAATTCAAAGGCATCAATTCTTCTTCGGTCTTCCTTATTCATTATCCAGCTTTCACATGTATATGATGTGATTGAAAATACCATGGCTTGGATCAGGGGCACCTTAGTCTTCAAGGTGACATCTTTGCTTTTCAACACTTTAAAGAGGTCTTTTGTGCCTGTGAGTAGCTTAAGATACTCCACTGGTCTCACCCCTTCGAAAGCAAGGGAGAATGAAGAAAACTAAAGATACAAGGGAAAGATTAGTCCAAAGGACTAATGGACCACAAGTACCACAGCCTCCACCAGACTGAGTCCAGCACAACTAGATGGTGCCCAGCTACCACCACCAATTGCTCTGACAGGGATCACAATAGAGGGTCGCTGACAGAGCTGGAGAAGAATGTAGATCAAAATTCTAACTCACAAAAAAAGACCAGACTTACTGGCCTGACAGAGACTGGAGAAACCCCAAGAATATGGCCCCTGGATACCCTTTTAGCTCAGTAATGAAGTCACTCCTGAGGAACACCCTTCAGCCAAAGATTAGACAGGCCCATAAAACAAAACGAGACTAAAGGGGCACAACAGTCCAGGGACAAGGACTAGAAGGCAGGAGGGAACAGGAAGCTGGTAATAGGGAACACAAGGTCGAGAAGAGAGAGTACTGCCATGTCGTGGGGTTGATAACCAATGTCAAGAAAAAGAAAAAAATAAAGAGGTCTTTTGCAGCAGCTTTTCCCAATGCAATGCGTCTTTTGATTTCTTGACTGCTGCTTCCATAGGTGTTGTGTATTCAAGTAAAATGAAATACTTGACAACTTCAGTCTTTCCTCCGCTTATCATGGTGTTGCTTATTG